TGTAATAATAGTTACTACTTGTAATAATAATTACTACTTGTAATAATAATTACTACTTGTAATAATAATTACTACTTGTAATAATACTTACTACATATAATAAAGTATTACTACATGTAATAAAGTATTACTACATGTAATAATATTTACTACATGTAGTAAATATTATTGCAATTACTACTTTTTTGTAATAAATAATTACTACATTACTACATATTACAATTTGAATTACGGCGACATGCTTTACGCAATACAGATACTTTATATTAACATCAAAATTATTACAGGATTTACAAAAAAGATCCGAGAACTTAAAGAGCAATTTACGAAGCTCGGATATTTTAAATCTTCAAAACTTTATTATTTATATAAAAGTACCTCTAACATAATTCTCTGGTCTATATCGGTCATGATCTTGAAATCATTTGGTAATACATTATCTGGCGTCCTCGCTGCTGCCGCAGTAATGGCATTGTTTTGGCAGCAGTGTGGTTGGTTATCACATGACTTTTTGCATCATCAAGTATTTGAAAAAAGGCGTTACAATGATTGGGTTGGATGTTTTTTTGGTGCGGTTTGTCAAGGTTTTGATCCTTGTTGGTATGATTCATTTTTCATTTTAATTATTAATATTCTTTAAAATTTATGATTTACTTACATCTTTGTGTTTATAGGTGGAAAAATAAGCATAATACCCATCATGCAGCACCAAATGTCCATGGACAAGATCCTGACATTGATACACATCCTATTCTAAGTTGGTCTGAACATGCATTAACGGATTTGTTTGATCCAGAGTTAGCAAGAGAACATGCAAAAGCTTATCCTCAATGGTTAACTCGCATCATGGTCAACAACCAAACTATAAATTACTTTCCAATTCTTGCATTTGCTAGACTGTCTTGGTGTGCTCAAAGTATTCAATACGTTCTTCCAAATGGTCAAACTGGAAGTATTGGAGATGCTCGTATGCAAGTGACAACACTTGAACAGATCTGTTTGGCTTTACATTATATTTGGCTTTTTTATATCTTATCATTTGTCGGAAGTTGGATTTTAGTTTTTGTATTTATCATTTCAGCACAAGCGATGTGTGGATTATTAT